GGGAGCTTCCCCGCCCGGCACCCTGCTCTGCCCTCGCCGCGCCTCGCCTCCTTCTTGCCTCTTTGTCTCCTCCTCGCCTGGGCTGAAGGGACCTCCAAACTCCAAGTTACTCAAACTTCTCAGAGTTTACTTGAAGTTCTGACACCTCCTAACCTTCTCTCTGTGTTTTTCCCCTTCTCTACAGGATCTCCTGCTGGCAGCGGCGTTTGTCTCCGATGCGCAGTACAACAGGAATATTCCTTTTAAGACGTCCCCGGAGGCGGTCAGGTAAGGAGGGCTGTGTCCCCCCATCGCATCGGAGTGCGGCTCTGGGCTGGGCTGCGGACAGACAACCCGTGTCCAGACAACAAGAACCAAAAAAGTCGGGGGTGCTTAACTTCACCAGAGAGGTGCTGAGGAGTGTGGGTTGGGTGCCGAAAACTCAGCTGAAATGCTTCAAATGGGGCTCGGTGCATCTGTATGTTGAGGGTGGGAAAGGAAATTAAAATCTTTTAAGCCTGAAGTTGCAGTGCTCTGTGGGAATGAAGAGTTTGGAAGACTCAGCCCTCACCTGTGTGGGTGGTGCTGGAGTGGTGGTGGCAGGGGTTTGCACAGTTGGCCTGTGTGGGAGAACAGCTCTGTGCCAGGTGGTCACACTTGGCACCTGTTGACTTGACAGCAATCCACTGCACCCCAAAACTTCAGGTCATCCGAGGGGAGTGTGGCACTACTGCTTAGGTGTGCTTCAGAAAAGGCTGTACCTGCTGCTGGAGGAGTAATTAAAATCCTGTGTTAATTGGTGATAAGTGAAATTCCCTAAGCTCAGAATGTTCTGCTTGTGATGGTGACTCCCTTCCCTTTGAGGTGCTCATGAGAGGCTGAGCAGCTTCAGTCACAGGTGCATTTTCCTTGGAGACCGTGGAGGTTCAGTATGTTTGTCCCAAAAGCTTTGAGCTGCGGTGTGGTCATGAAACCTGTCTGCTTTGGGTGTCATGAGCATTTCATCGAATCTTGTCCTAACACCTAAATTGTCACCTCTGGATGGTGTTGTTAGAAAAATAACCAGAAACTGGTTTGTTATAACCTTGATACTATAATATTAATTATTTTATAAACAGGTTAATTAATATGTTTATATAATAAATATATAATAAATATTATCCTATTTAACTTTTCTTTGAAGAGGAGTATAGTATCCATGAACTGTGAGACTGATTTGGAAACAACTTGCCAAATTCCAGGCTAGAAAAAATATTTGGGACAGTATGTGCTGTTCTTCCAGGATGCATTCAGTCAGCCCCTGGGGATGTGCCCAAAAGCCTTTATTTATGGTGCCTCTGTCTTCTTCCTCAGGCTTTATCATCTCTATAACCATTGGATGATGAGAACAACCACCTACTTTTTCATCTTTCTCAACCTGTCCCTTGCCATATTTGAAGAGCCTGCTGTGTATCCACTCCCTTTCCTGGTGAGTTGTCGGTATAGAAGCAGCTAATAGAGCCAGCAAGGGTTTCTTGCTTAAAAGTAGTTGTCAGAGGTATCAAGAGATAATTGATGCTGATTTCTTTGTGGATATATTTGATCCTCTGCTTCACTCTGGTGAATCCTCACCTGCAGTGCTGCCTCTAGCTCTGAGGTCCCCAGCACAGGAAAGGCATGGATCTGTTGGAGTGAGTCCAGAGGAGGCACCAAGATGATTAAATGGATGGAGCAGCTCTGTTATGTGAGAAGGTCTAATTGCAGCCTTCCAGTACCTGAAGGAGCCTGCAAGAAAGATGGAAAGGGACTATTTACAAGGGCCTGGAGTTATAAGACAAGGGTAAATGGCTTCACACTGACAGACAGCAGGTTTAGGCTGAATATTAGAAAGGTTTTCTTCCCTGTGAGGGTGGTGAGACGCTGGCACAAGTTGCCCAGGGGAACTGTGTCTGCCCCATCCCTCAAAGTGTTCCAGGCCAGGTTGGATGGGGCTTGGAGCAATCTCAGGTAGTGGAAGATGTCCCTGCCCATGGCAGGGGTTGGAACTGGGTAGTCTTTACCAACCCAAGCCATTCTGTGATTCCATGATCTTTTGAAATGGGGACAAAAATGGGCACAGGAGCTGGACAAGGACTGTAGGAGCCATTGTGGCTGTCAGCAATAGCCATTGCAACTGTGGACAAAGTCATGTGGCTAGTCTCCATCTCTGAGAACAATTCTGGCCTTCTGTGTAACCCAAGTCCAGTCTTCATGTGTGAAAGCAGAAGCCGTGTGTTGCCCTTAGGACTGACTTTTCGACAGTCTTTGCTTGTTCTGCACCAGTGTGTTTGTGCTTCTTGAATCCTAAGCAAACACTAATTTGCTGGCTTTAACCTGGCAGGGAATTCCACAAAGGGAAGCCTGGAGTGCCTGTCTCAGTGCCAGATCTGTGAGCCTGTAAAACAGCTGAGCGCAAACCCTGACTTTATATTGCCTCTGCCTGTTTTTTCTGGGCCTGAACACCCTCATCTGTGCTAAAAGGGATAGTGCTGCTCTTGGTTGTCCTGACTTGAGTCCCTTTTCTCTCTGCAGGCCACGTCTGTGGTGGAGGTGTTGTGCCTTATGGTGTTCTTTGGTCGACTGACACATTTTGCCAAAGTCACCTTGTACAACGTGTTCTGGAAGGACACCAAGAACATCTGCATCATGGTGGCAATTCTAGTGAGTTGGGCCTCCAAGGTCCAAGTGGCCAGCATGGAGGTTTTTTTTTATTCCTGTTGCCTTGCTAGTGTCATAAACCTGATAAATACGGACTCTAGAAGAGCCATGGCCAAATTAGCTCTCATTAAATCTCTCAGGTGTGCACTTGTCTTGTATCAGCTAACACTGTCTTCACCACCTAGACACATTTCCAACATTGCTTCTGGAAATTTTCCTTCTTTCTCCTGCAGTTATCCCTAACAGACTTGGCCATATATGGGATCCTCAGGCTGTACAATGTGAGGAGCATCCGGTGGTCCAGAATTGTGAGGCCCATTTTCCTGATCAACTTTGCAGAGAGTCGCCAGGTGAGGAAGAGGTCTGGTGGGATGTCCCCCTGGGACAGGGTCCTGCTGCTTTCTGAGATCCAGGGGAGTTAGCAGAAAGGTTTTGGTGCAGAAATGGCACCATTTGAGTGAAGGTTTCTCCCATAGGTGGGCTGAGATGGACAAAAGGGTAGATTCACACAGCACCACAGACTTCAAACCTATTTCTCCCTGAGTCAGAGGCCAGGTTACTTATTTCTGGAAGTCTCCTAGGTAAACACGTCATGCTGTTCCCAGAAACTCAGCCTGTAGGCCTGCATGGGTGATTTGGACTCTTGATTCCTCTTGTCGCAGAGAGATCTTTGCCCTGCTGCCCAAAACTGGGCTGGTCCTGACTTACAAATGAATAAACTGTGGTGTGGAGGCCTGGGGCAGGGAGCAGTTCAACTTTTGCGCTCGGAGCATGTGTTTTGTGGCCTGGAGTAATGGACTTCTGGCCCTGACCAGTCCCCAGCAGCAAGAGCATCTCAGCAGTGCCACAGGGCCTTCTGTCTGGTTTGCTGAGCTTGTGGTGGTGTGTAGGTGAGATATCTCCTTCTAGAATTTCTCCTGGAGAATGAGCAGGAAAGGCCTGGGACTCTTGCACAGGTTTTAGCTGCTGCATCTGGGCCAGAATCTCTCCTGCCAGGCAACAGGAGAAGTACCCATGTCCCACTTTGTGTCCCTGTGTTAGGGGTTTGATCCAGGTGGGATGGTCAGGGGAAAAACTGGTCCCACCTCGTTTGTAAACCCTTCCCTTCTCCCTGGCAGATTCGGAGAGCCTTCCGCAGCATCCGCAACACGCTGCCAGAGATCACCTACGTCTTCTTGCTCTTCATGTTCAGCCTTCTCATGTTCTCCCTCATGGCCTTGAAGCTATTTGGAGAGAGGTGTGAATACTACTTTTGCTCAGAACTGGGTGGTGAGAATGTGTGGGATCACAGGAGGGAGTCTGGTAACTCCAAACAATTCCTAGGGGTTATAAGCACTGCATACCTGAAGCTCCTCTGGTGAGACATGTGATCTCTGTGCTTAACTCCAGACTGTTCTTTTCCTCCTAGGAATCTGCAGACAGCAGAAGGCTTGCCATATTTCAAAAACTACTTGGAAATTGTGTTTGACCTCTATGTGCTGGTGACGACAGCAAACAGCCCAGATGTCATGTATGGATGTTGTGTATATGATCAGATGTCTTTCTCTCATCATGTTTTCAAGGCTCTATGCAGCCTTCTTTAATTTGGACAGCAGTGTTAAAGTTCTGTGAGGGTTGGGCTTCCATCTTCATCTGATCTAACTTTCCATTTTGGTTTATACTGGGAAGGTGCCATCAAAAAGGGGGACAGAAAAATCTACCTGGGAGACTGTTTTCTTGTGGGTTCTTTTATTTCTTGTGAATTCTTTTATTTCCCTGTCTATTGGCCTAGCAGGTAGTAATGCCTCTCCCCTTTTCTAGGATGCCAGCATTTGACTTCAGCTCCTGGTATGCCCTGTTCTTCATTGCCTTCGTCATTGTCAACACTTATATCTTCATGTCTCTCTTCCTGGCTGTGGTGTACAACAACTACAAAAAGCACCTGAAGGTAATGCTTGGAGAGGTGAATGGTGACTGCCTGTGTGACCTTGTAAGGAAACCTCTGGCTTTCCCTTGGAAGCCTTCTGGAAAGCATAGAAAAGGGGGTACAGCTTCTTGACTTTGCTCTGCAAATAACAAGCACAGGTCCCACCTTTCATGTCATGGGGATGGTTGTGAGTTCTGCTGTTGGCATTGAACAACTAAATATTCTGTGGTGTCTTGAACCCAACAGATAGGAAGCATGTGTCTCTGCATTGTCTTGGAGGCTTAGTCCTGGCTCAAGCTCTCTACACAAAGGACTGTTTTCAGTTGGGTTTAAGTGCACAGCACACTTGTTTTGCCATTGATGTGCTCTTAAAGCAAAGGAACTCAAAATGGGAAGTCTAAGTGAATTGGAATTCTTGCTGCTTCTACCCAAACTCGGTAGGGGCAGTTTGAGACTTGTGATCAAAGGGTGAGAGCTGGAAATTGCTGGGTGCTCCCAGGAGGGGATTGACTCTCTCAGGAAGCAGTCTGCTGGTCTCTCCAGGGTATCAGGTTCTTTAACCTGCTTGTAACCATGTGTGGAAGAGGATCTTCACCCCTGATCTCAGCAGTAATCGTATACAGATGGGAAGTATGTGTGGGCACATCCTTTTTGCTTCTGTGACCAGTGGACATGCAGATCCCATGATCTTTGTCACTTCCTTCCTGTTAGGCACTGCCCTTTGTCTTTCCTTCCGTTTTTTTCAATGTTCTCCCAGCATTCGAGAGCCCGTGGCTGCCTGTTAAACACCATTTCCCATCCTCTCCAGCAACTGTGCTGTACTGTGTCTAATATCACTCCAAGTGTGTTCCCCTGAGTCTCTTCTTGCATCTCCGTTGAGAAAATAAGATTATTTATGGAAAACAAAGAAGGGGAATGGTGACTGAAGCTGCCTGAATCTGTCTGTTCTCCCCAGAACGAGATCCGTAAGCTTGCCTACATGAAGCGCCGCAAGATGATAGAGGCCTTCAACCTCCTGAAGGAACAGGAGGGAGAGCAGTTTGTAGTTAGAGAAGCCCAGTGGAAGCAGTTGGTCAAGCTGGTGGCTCCTGAGACCAGCAACTCCCACCGGGAGCTGCTGCTCCGCATCTCGGATGATGAGCAGAAAGGGTTTGTAGGTGAGCAGTTGGGTGCTGAAGGGACTGGGGGGAAGCCTAATCCTTCACGGGTACTCTGTAATGCCTCCAGAGGGACTCAGAATCACAGAATCATTAAGGCTGGTGAAAGCTTCCAAGATAGTCCAACCTGTGACCTATCACCACCTTGTCAACTAGAACAGAGCACTAAGGGTCACATCCAGTCATTCAGCACCTTCAGGGATGTTGACTCCAGGCCCCTCGTCCTGTTTCCCTCCAGATTGCTGAAGTTCTGGAAGGTTGTTCTTGCTGCCTGTCCTGTAGCTCATGTCAGGCACAATGTGGGTGGTTCTTCATGGCCATCTGCCATCAGGCCAAGCTTCCCATGGCATGTGAGACCTCCTGTTCTCTGCACAGGATGAGGAAAACCTCCCTTGTTGTCAGATTCCTCCAAGCAGTGTGGTTTCCCATACAGTCTTCTAGAGCCTCTTGCCCTTCTCTGGCAATATCGGGAGGGGCAAGTTAGTTTCCTCGTGCTAGATCATTCTGTGGTGGTTGTTGGCTTGTGGCTTGAGCCAGTTCTCCAGGAATGGGGTGGAGGAGCAGTTTGAGTTCCGAGTTTATCTTGTTCTATGGTGGATACCACTCTGGGCAGCTCCTGTGGGTATAGATTTTCATTTGCCAGGCTGTATTGTATTGATGTGTAACCCTCTCCCCTGCTGCAGACAAGAAGTCTTTTGTACAACTGGCAGATCTCCTAAACATCCAGGTGGTCACCCTGAAGATCCGCAGCCATCCGCTGGCGCAGTGGATGCCTCGTGTGTACAAATCCACAGCAAGTCGGCTCCTGCGCAGCATGGTGAGGCACAGGTAGGTCTCTGCTAGGGGAACAGCCAAATGCTCACCTGAGTGTTATCCTGGAGAGTGCAAATAGCATTCAGGCCAATGCTGAGGACGGTTCTGTGGTCTAGCTCTGCCCTTTGCCTGCCTTCAGCGGTGTGGAGAAACCAGATGTGATTATTGGTGAGTCTGTGCCTTGTCCAGTCCCACTTGTGCAGCTCTTCTGCAGGTGCTGAGTGTAACTGGGTTCTGCTGACAGCCAGGCTTTGTGGCCTGCCTTGAAAGACCAGAGTAAATGCATGTCTTAAAGTTGATTGTACCTCAGCAGACTCTGCTGCAAGGCTGCATTGTGCTGGTTCATCAGCTCTTGCTCAGTTGGTACAATGAGCTGCTAGAGCTCTCTCTGACCTTCAAGTCTTCCCAGAATTCCAGAATTGCTGAGGTTGGAAGGAACATCTAGAGATGGTCTAGTGTAATCCCCTTGCTCAAAGAAAGGTCAGCTAGAGTAGGGTACTCAAGGCTAGGTCTAGCTGGGTTTAGGGTATTTCCAGGGATGGAGACTCCATAACCTCTCTGCAACCCATTCCAGTGTTTGATCACCTTTGCTTTAAGCTAAACTCTGCAGTAACTTCCCTAAACTCTCAGGTTTGTGGAGAACTGATGGGTAAAGAATATTTGAGAGAGGGAGCAAAGAATCTCTGGAATAACTGTGTCACTTTGACCTCCTTGGGAGCAGCAAAGTGATTTCTCTTTCTTCTTGCAGGGGTTTTGTTTGGACTTATGATGCAATCATCCTCATAAATGCCATCTTCATCGCTCTGGATGAGGAAACCCCTTACATTTCTTATGCAGAGTGGGTGTTCCTTGCTCTGTATATCGTTGAGATACTCTTGAAGGTGTACACCTACGAACCGAGGGCATTCTTTGGCAAAACGCAGTTCTGGAACTGGTGAGTGGGATGGATGTTTGTATGGAGGTGATGTCAAGTGTGATGAGGTCTTTGTGCTCAGCTCCTCAAGGACTAAAAGCCTCTTGGAGAGATGAGCTGCCTAACTCCTGTGCCAGGGTGTGTTTTAAATGAGTCAGAGGATGTTTTGCTCTTTCTTTGCCTAACTTAGCTCTGAAATACTGTTCTCTGCCCTGTCAAAGGTGACTTTGCAGCATGTGAAGATAGGGGGGACGGGAAAGTTTTGTAAACAAAGCTCTCCCATCTGCTCACCCCGCAGATAAGTTTGAGGTGCTACAGGCACAGATGTGAGGAGGAGGGGTCACTACTTGTTGAAGCACCTGCTCCCTGACACACAAAATCTAACAGCAGTGCCTTCCCTCATGCTAGGTTTGATACTCTCATCATTTTTGCTGCCTTGACTGCAACGATACTCAATGCCACCCTGAAGTCGAGTAAGTGCAGGTTAAGCAGTCTGCATGCCTCTGGGAATCTTGGTGATCTCAGCAGCCTTCTGCCATCACCTCGGGCGTGGGAGGCTTTCTGGCAGGACAAGGAATTTCCTGGAGGGTTTCTAAGAACTAACCCACTCTCTCTCTTTATTTTTTTTGTAGCTCCCTGTTACAGTGTTTAACCAAGGACATAATAGTAACATATAAGAACTTACCTTAATGCTTCCCAGCTTATTTTTTAAATAAAAATCTTTCTTTCCTCAGCTACAAAGTACAACAGCCAACAGGTCCTGGACATTGTCTTCATCTTGCGAGTCCTTAGGCTGATAAGGATTGTTGACAGCATTCAAAGGTAATGAAGAGAATGGGGTGGGGAGATGGTGTTTTTTTGGGAGGGGGATGGGCTGTGCTAGAGACAGTGCCCTGAATGCTATGCATAGATGCTTTGCATGGCCACTCCACAAAGCATCCCAAGGCCTTTTCCCAGCATAGTGAGCCCAGTTGCTGCAGTCTCTCTGGAGAGGCTTTACTCATGTGAAGAGACTGTAGTGTAACAATAAGCAAGTATGGACTGTAGAAGAGCCTCCCCACAGCAGGTGTTGTCATGAATTGTTTGCTGTAGGTTCCGTGTGATCATGAACACATTGATAAACATCGTCCCAACGATGCTGACATTTGGTGGGCTGACTCTGGTAAGAAATCCTGCTGTCTTAGCTCAAAGCAATCCAGTTGTACAGGAATGTGTCTTAAGTTTCACACTCGTGCTGTTTCCAAGAGGATAAATGCAAATCCCTGGATGGCAGGCCCTTGAAACTGTAAGTGTCTTGGATTTGTGGTCATTGTGCAAGCAAGTGTGTGCAGAGGGGCTGGGTTCCTGCTTCTGGCTGAATCAGGACATCCTCCTTGGCTCCATGGGGTGCTGAAGGTGTTCTATGCAGTCTGGGCTTCACACTGTAATGAATCAAACCATGGTTTGGGCAAGAAGCTAAATGAGAAACTTGGTTAAGAGGTTTCCTAAGAATAGCTTCTGTAGTGATTTAGGAATGCTTCCTTTTGATGTATTTGTAGTTTTTGGGTTATTCCTGCCTCGTGGCTTGGGTCTTTTGGACTCTGTGCTGCTCCCCAGCTGCTTGCTGTGCCTGTACAGATGGGAAAACCTGCTAAGCTTGTCTTGGAGCTTGCTGCTTGCTGGAGAAGCAGGTGATGGGGTTTCTCTTCCCAGGTTGTGTATTGTGTATTTGCTATAATTGGCATGGAGTTATTCCATGGGAAAATTCAGTTCTTCCCCGCCAACTCGAATGCTCCTCATGCCCTGGAATGTGGGAACCCAGCTCTCAAGGATTCTCTGTTTGCCCGTGGGAAGTACTGCAAGAACAACTTCAACAACTTTGCTTCTTCCTTTATCGTCCTCATGGAGCTCACCGTGGTCAATCAGTGGCATGATATCCTTTGTTGTGCACAGTCCCAACTGGAGCCTGGGGAGCAGGAGCTGGATTTGATCCTTGTGGGTGATTGTATCATCCATGGTCTTCCCAGACTCTGCTCTTCCCCTGGTATTACACATAGACAACAGATAAATGGTCCCTGCAGAGGGTTTGATTCAGGTGGTCACTGCTGGATGGTCTTACTTGCTTCCTCCCTCAGCATCATCATCTTCTGTCGCTTGCCCTTAACTCTTGCTCTACTCTTTGCCAATGGATTTGCCAATGTGACAGTTCAGCCTGCCAAGCTGTATTTCATTGCCTTCCACATTGTGATGGTGATAATCATTGTCAAGTAAGTTTTGGGTCAATCTCATTTACTTTGGAGGCTAGAAGGGCTCTGCCTCTGCCAGGGCACTGCTGATGGTCCCTGGATCACACCTGGTGTGACTCTTGGAGAGCTATGTGGTATGCGTGTAGAGGAATCTGAGAGACATTCTTGTCTCCACTGAGTGCTGCTCTGACTTGGAGCTTCCTGTCTCCACCAGATGAGAAGGGATGTAGTACTGGGAAATAAGTCTAGGAACACTGAGTCATTGATGCCTGTAAGAAAATGCTGCCATGTAACTCTGCTCATCATTCCTTTCAGTATCTTTGTGTCATTCATTTTGGAAGCTTTCTTTGTGGAGTACTCCCTGGAGAAGAGTGAAGTGGAAACAGCTATTGAACAGAAAATCCAGGAACTGGGAATGGGAGTTCAAGAGTAAGCCCCACCAATAGATCGTGCTGGATGGGGCTGGCTTGGCACCACTGATGAGGGCTGTGGGACTGGAGGGAAAAGCCACACTCTGTCTTGAGGCGTGAGCCAAAATTCCTTTTCCTTGTCATGAAGTTCTGGCTAATCTGCTGTGACAGTGTAGGCCTCGTCTAGGTCAACAGAAAGGCTACTGGCATTGGCCTTGCTGCCTCCCTTGACTCTTCCAGCCCAGGGCTCCTGCCCAGAGGACAGAAGAGATGCTGGAACTAACACCATGGCTGGTGCTTGTCCTGCCCCAGAGAAACCGTCACTGCTGGGTTCATGTGGGCCTCCTGGGGTAGGATGTGTTCCCCTCCCTGGAGTAACTTTTGGCCCTTCTTGTGTAGGGATGAGCTCCAGGATGAACAGCTCCTGGATAACATGGAGAGTGCCGAGCATGACCTTGACGGGGAAGGTGGAAGGAAGCCACAGTCAAAAGGGCTGGTGTTTAAAATTGCCTCCAAACGTAAGTGCAGCCCTCCAGTGTCCCCAGGTTTGTGGTGAAGAGGCCAAGGCTCGGAACTGTCCTTGGGGAAGCTCCCAGGCACTCCTACTCCCTCGGGGCAGCTAGAACCCACCTGGAGATTTTGAGATGACAGCTGTGGACACCAGCATTTACTGTTTCTTTTTAAATCTGTAGCAACTTTTTCTCTCCTGCCTTGGCCTTTCTGTGTTCCTTGTGTTCATTAAGCATCCCCTGAAGACACTACCTTGGTGGCTGAGGTCCTGCACTGCCAAGAGACCTGTTTTCCTTTCTCCTTCCTATATGGACTTTGCATTCCTCCTGGCCTGGATCATGGGGTGATTATATCTTCCTTTCCTCTAGCTTAATGACTACTTTTCCTTCTCCTGGCTTTCTTGCCATACCTCAGCAGCTCCCCAAGCTCATGCCTCTCAGCATGGCAGCTAACTGGGATCACGTATCCACTGTGTGGGAATAGAAGGGTTTAAAATCTTAATGGTCATATCCTTGACAAGCTCTCACAGTGCTTAAAATATATGGGGTGGAATACCAGGGAATGTAATTTGGGGAGTTTTCTTGCCTATTTAGTGTAGAACATGGGCCTTGAGGTAGCCACCACCTCAGTCCTGCTGATGAACAGAACAGGTGCTTACAGGGATTTTTTTATTTTTTTTTGTCACCCTCAGGATACAGGACAGTTGATGCTCTGCTCCAGCGTATGTTTGAGGCAGAAATCCCCCTTGAGGATGAAGGCCCTTCATTTGAGGAGATCCTAAACTTGTCCCCCACTGCTGCTGTACCCAGGAGTTCTGAGAGCACAGCATAACAGGGGCCATTGGCAAGGAGGAGCTGATTCCCAGCTGTCCAGGTCCCAAACATGTTCCCTGGCTGCCTCCAGGTGTGGCACTCGTATGGAGGCCAGGTTACATGGTGGAAGAGGCAGCTGATGCCCCAGACAGCTTTGTAAAGGAGCTTTATCTCATGTAAAGTCCTGTATAAACATTGAAACTGGAAAGTGTAGGGGGAGTTGTCATCTCCAGCTGTGCCCATGGAGTGACAGTGCCATAGTCAGTATGTTATGGAGTAACTACTTGTTGTAACTGGAATTTTGTATTGCAGCACTTTTTTGTACGCAGTTATGGACCAGTGTGTGCTGAATTAAACGGCTTTAGCACAATAAATTCAGCAGTCTGGGAAAATGATGGATTATCGTGGAGTTAATGATGGGTTAGAGCTGCTGCATGATTATCTGCATGTGCCTGGTAACAGGGCCTTGAAGTGGGAGATCAGGATTGGGAGAGGAGTGGGGAGGGCTGCGCTTCCCACTGTTTATGCAGTGCCCAGCGCTGTCTCCAGCATTTAAATCCCAATTTTATCCTTTTAGCTCTCCTTGTCCCCCCAGGCTGTGCCCGGGGCGCCGCCTAGCGGCGGGAGGGGGCGGGACCTCGAGGTGAGAGGCAGAGAGGACAGCCAATGGGGAGGCGGCGTGAGGCCGCGGGTGGCCAATGGGGAGGCGGCGTGAGGCC